CTCTTACGGAAAATACGCTTGCGAAAAAAAATAAAGGGGGGGGGGTCTCGAGGGGTGGGTGGGTCCCTGTGAACACTCGCGCCCCCTGTTAAAATTTCTGTTGGCGCCACTGCGCGGGTTTGAATCCTAAGCCGCCCAGTTAATAAAATTACCACTTTTGTCAGGATGTATATTATGTTTTGGAGGTGCATGTTTTAAATTGCTGAGAAACATGGAATGCATGCACTAAATAGAGCAGTTGTAAAACAGCTCTTATTGTTAAATGTAGCACCCAAAGTTGCGCAAAACTTTAACTAGATATGATATTTTGCTGAGAGAGCTTCCCAAAACAAGACCGCTTAAAAAACTAGTCCTCGAATGTAAGACTCCAGAAGATGCAGCTGTAAACACTGGAAAGCAGCATGTTGGATCCAGATGCACACTTTGTGGAAACTTTTTCGGCACGATGAAAATACTTTGGGGACGAGGATGAAAGAGGAGTGACAAATTTCCAAAACGCCACCCACTCGCTCATCACCCGTCCCTTTAGTTTGGAAGACGCAATATCAGTATAAGGCTACGCCACTTTCACAGCCTGCTTGCCGCGGATTTCGGATGCTTCAGAGTGGTGACTGCACGCACCCATAAGCAATTTTGGAGCACGGAAAGGCGAAGGCAAACCGGCACTGTACACACTGTACTGAGCGCCGATGTAACACATAAAACGTTGCTTCACGACGGAGCGTTACAAGAAAGATGACACGCGACGCGGACTTGTATTCGGATGCGATGTGCACTGCTCTGGAGACAAGCTAAAACTGACGCATTCTGTCCAGAAATCCCGAGTGGCCGAGGGATTAAGGGCCCCCTCCTCTCCCCCCGCCCCGCGCAGGTAGGCTTCGGCCGGCACGCCGGTCCGCGGTGATTTTCCGAACGCCCCGGCTCGGCTCGGTGTGCCTGGTGCCCTCTAACCAAGCTTTTAAAATTCAGAGATCATGGTTTATTGAAATTCATAAACATTTGACTAAAGTGGGAGAAAAGAACTTCTATATTGACGTCCGATTTCGAGTGTGGATGTCAGAATTCTGAAATGCATCTCACATCGTGCCTCATGGCAGTGTCGGTAGTCAAAAAATAGTCGGAGCACGTAGACTATAGAATTGTATGTCTTCCATCTTCCGACTGTGCCTCAGCGGAGGAGGTGCCTGGACCTAACCTAATGGCCGACAGCAGACGCCAGCGAGTGGCAACATGGTTATGCGTTTTACTGAACTCCAGTGGAATATTTTGTTAAAAAATTTCAGCTAGCGGCTAGAGAAGACATTTAAGGGAAGGTGGGGCTCATTGGGACGGATTTTTGCTTGGCGCTCTACGTCAGAGGTTTTTCGAGCTGTAATGGTCGGGGCAGGCCTAAATTGTGCATTGACATCTAGCCTATCACATCCTCAAGCATTTAAACTTAATTCGACACGTTTTTAGGCAGGAGAGATATTTTCCGCAGATTCTGCACTTGTCGCAATGTGGACGGTACCGGGGCACATTGGGACAGATCCGGGGCACATTGGGACAGCAATGAAAAAATCTGGAACTAAGTCGTGCATTTATTTTTTCGGACCGCCAAGTTGTAGAAAAAGTTATGCCGAATACAATGAGCGCAGACTCGGATCTCTGGTGCCAAGCGTTCGGAAGATACGCTGCTCTCAATGGAATAGTACTATTTTTCGTGTTTTTTCGACCTCTCTACTCGAGAAAACCCTGAAGTAATGACTTTAGAGACCACATGCATAAGATAACTTTTATTTGTTTGGACGAGACAAGACAATATATGTACAATTCATGTATTTTTGCTATCCACATGGCCCAGTACCCTCACCCTGTCCCAGTGTGAACTGAGCCATTTTAAAACGTCAACTCGGTCTGTGGCCCTTGACCTCAAGACCAGGCTCCGCGCGATGACCCTTTTTGGCGCCCATTGCACCAAGGAACACATTCCTAACCTCGGCACGATCATCCGACGTGCATTTCAGACGCTAAAAAGAAAACAAAATTCAAAAATCGTGCTACTTTTTCATCGTTTTTTGTGGAATCGAACTTCCAACCCACGTTTCTCATTCAGAAAGCGCCCAGTTCTGTCCCCGAGTTGTGAAAACAGTTAACCAAATAACGCTCTATTATGGTCAATTTTCCGGAGAACCTGACATAACCGGAAGTTGGAAATATTGAAGGTGTCCCAATGTACCCGGTGTCCCACTGTACCCCACCTTCCCTTACTAAGGCAATAGATGGTATCATTTGGCAAAAGAAGTTCTTTTAGAAATACAAATAGGAAATACTTATTTGGGAACGGACACGGCGCTCTAAGCGCCACCTAGCGGCAGGTCTGTGAAACCTGACCTTGAACCCAGCGGCTGACTGTGGGCCATACCGTGTGAGAAGTGGCTTGTCGACAGTTTGCGTGAAGTAATCAAACTAAACCTTCGGTTTACGTTGAATGTTACAGCTATCACTGAAGCGTTCAACTTTAACTTCAATCATTTAGTTTCAGAAATCTGGTTATGAAAAGTCATCAGTCATGAGGATTTTAAGAAACCAATTTTTACTTTTGGCAGGCAATCTTAATTTTGACAACCCTGTTCCTAAGTTTTAAAAGTGGTTTTAAAATTTACCAACTATTTATTACTTTTCATTTTAGTTTTGGTAAATGTAATAAAGTATAGCACTTTTCACAAACTTTTCTGAGTTTTCATATCATTTCAAAATGTTATTAAATTTAAGACATTTTCATGTCTTAAATTTCAGAATTTTTTTTGCAGTGTGCAGCTACCAGCGGAGCGGAGTGCAGGCTGATTTTAGACTCAACACTAGACGGCCGTTCGCTTAGCTGAGCAAAAGTCTATTTACTACTGCTCTAGCAATTCAGGGTCCATAGCACCTGAAACGCAGTCATGCCTTTTTTTAGAAAATAAAGCGTCAATTTCAGACTGCGCAGGATGAAAATTCAGACCTTCTACTACAAATGATTGTTTTAAGACCCCGACGCCGAAAATTTATACTGCGCCATCCAAATATTCAGACTTGTGAGTCCGAAACTCATTTTTCAGACCACAAGGTGTAAAATTAAGACCAACTGTCTGAAAATTCTGACTCAAGTCTGAATTTCAGATTCAGACCACTAGGTCTGAAAAAATTGGTCTGAATTTTCAGACTTTTTTTAACAGTGATGGAATAGTTCATGACTCTTGGAGTGGAGGCCTAATCTGTGTTTGGATTGCACTGTGGGACTTAGGCTGCCTGCTTTTGCCAACGAAGTGTCGCCGTCAGTACGCTGTAATCCATTTTCCTGTGAGTTTCATCAAATTTCCAGCTTTTCGCCTTAATAGGGGATAAATGGTTTTCTCTTTTTGCAACTGTGACATTTAGACTCAATTGCACTCTAAATGTCTTACGAAGAAATTTCCCATATTACGAAGGAAATGGCGCAAGCATAATACGAAGGTGGTTTTTCTTCGTATTACGAAGGTTTTTCTTTGTATCTTACAATGAAAAAGCTAAAAAGATTCGTATTACGAAGGAATATTGCTTCGTATTATGCTTGAGCCGAATTCACTGTAACATACGAATAACATAGGTCAAATTTCATTGTAAGACATTTAGAGTGTGCACTTGTCTCCAAATGCCATTGTGCCATTTAGACACAATCGTACTCGCAATGCAATAGACTAAATCGGACACAAGTTGAGTTGATTCCTTTGTCCGAGGCATGCATAAAGACCTAACTTGAGTTAGCTCCTTTCCAAGCTTTTCAACGGACTCATGTGGGTGAGTTGACTCTATTTTCCGCCCACTTGAGACCGTAAAAGGAGCCAAGTCAATTAATATATAACCTTTTTCCATGTTGATTATCTCTTGAACTACTTGGAGAGTCAAATAATTTGGTGCGGTCATGTCAACCATTCTCACTGCAAAGCCAGTGGTAAGTTTGCTTGCCACGTATTTGGCAAGCCGTTTTAAATGCTAAAATTTGGCAACTTTCGGTCGGAAATCTTCATAAGCTTGCCAAATTTTGGCAAGCTGGGGAGTTTTGTCGGGTCAAGCTTGCCCATTTTTGGCATTCAAAACGGCTTGCCAATTTTGTGGCAAGCAAATTTACCACTGGCTTTGCAGTGCTTCAGAACAAAAATAAAGAAAAAACTCAATTTGAAGATAAGTCAGGTATTCCTTTCTTCCGCTTCAAGGATCAAATGGTCCACGAAGCGGAGGAAGGGCATAAACCGACTTACGTATCTCTATAATGAACTTTTATTTTATTATTGTGACTTTGAATGGTTCGTATCTTTGCACCAAATTATTTGACTCAATTCTTAGCAGTCAAGGGAAAAAAATCCACTTTGAAAAAAGATTAAACTCATCTTGACCCCTTTTACACTCTCAATTTAGCGGAAAATGGAAACAACTCAATCGAAGTCGACATGACTCTGTTGAACATATTGTTGGTAGGAGGTAACTCAACTTGTGTTTTGACGTATCAACTGTAAAAAGAATCAACTTAACCCCCTTTCATTTCAAGAACTTGAACGAAAAAAAGAGCTACGTCCAACACTCATTGTTGATTATAGTTCCACTAGACTTGACTTCAAATTCAACTTCGTTTAAGTTGAGATGACTCGGTTTTTCATTTTAACTGCAAGTGATAAGTAACAGAGTGACCTGACACTCCTGATGTTCATCTCAAAATTTAACTTGCTCTTCTTGAACTTGTTGCCATCTATATAATTTCTTTGTGTAGTTTTAGTTTTCCCTGCTAACAGTTCTATTTTCCTCCTGAAAAATGGTCAAAATGGAGCTACCCCCTTCGTCCGCTTCCTGGGTAAATTACCAAAAGCTGTTTACAGGATTTTCCTTAGCTTTTTGCCACTGGTGGATTAATGATTTTCCTACATAACCCAATCGACCTCGACACACCTAGGTTATCTTAGATGTACCCACGCTTTGTACATTACCAAACACACAAAATTATTTACAATGATTTCGTGAGAGTCCTTGCTCATTGCATCTCTCCCACACACGTGGTCAAGCCGATCCGGAGGAGTCCGGGACTCTGAGTCTCGCCATGGCGTGCCGCTTAGCGAGCGCCAGTGCTGCATAAGGCATAGTCGCCGTTGGCGATTTAATAATTGCAACCCACTGGCACTGTGTAGGCCGTGAGAGGCGACTCCTCCCACACGTATAAATAATTCATGAAACCGGACCTGCCAGCGGCAACCCTTTCCAATTAAGCTGACTTTTTTTGTGTGAGTTACCCACTGAGGGAAATGTTGCATTTAAACATGCGGGGTGAAATGCCAAAATGTGCTGACTTTACGCTGAGAACACCTTACAAACTGTTTCAGGCCTTACAAAGAAAAGCAGTTTGTTATAACAAAGTGTGTTGAGCATACATACATAAGCTTTCAAAGAAAATACTTCGTAGTTTACGAACTATTTCTAATTAGTTTGTATTATGTATGCTCAAAATACTTCGTAAGGTTTTAAGCGTGTAGACTTATGCAACTATGGCTTACTGCTATTGTTAACCGAGCCAGGGTCCACCCTTCCGCTGGCCCTTGTTTCCGGGGTCATTCAGCCATCAACTTCAGGCAAGTAGCTTCAGACCTTCGGCGCTCACACCACCGACCGCTCGCGACCGCTGGTGAACGAGGTGCTACAGGGTGCGGACAGGACTTATCCAACCAACAGCTGCATGTCAGAGCTTGGACCATCGCATAGTACACCGGTTGGTAAGCTGACACTTCACCGGTATGTACCATTGTGACTAAAACCCACCTTACAAATAGTAGTGTTAAGAAGCAGACAAAAAATGGATTGTGTAGACTTATTTCCGATTCGGACTTTTCATTTATTGTGCCCAACACTGCATCATAACATTCAATTGTATTGGCTCAGTCTCTTGCAGTTGCGTAGGAGATCCATGTGAAAAAGGAGAGACTCAACCTGACCCTGTTACGGTCCAAATTTCATCATACGGCATTTTAATACCATCAAGAAAATTTCCTTCGGGACACCGTTCATTTTATTTCCATGAATATTGGGATTGGAGCTGACAATCTAAGGGTCATCACTGACCTGGTCGTGTAACTGGTGAGTTAAACAAGTGTTTAAGTAGTTCAGAATGACAGATTTTATATGGATTAATGTCCACGCGTCTCTCTAAAACTGTTTGCAGGTTTTATCCTTCCTTGGATAGGAGGCAGGCAGGCCGTGCATAACAATCAAGAAACAAATTGAGGTTGCTGATTCATGTACCACAATTTCTGAATATTTTCCTTGTCATAATTTCCTTTCAAGTTACAGGAGAATGACCATCAATCCGTGATGAACTGACCGAGGACGCGCTTGACGGTTCTGCCTCCTCATTAATCTGAGGATAGGTGGACTGCCGATACAACTTCCATATTTCATCACTTTCATAATGATTAACGGCGACGCGCTTAAAGTTCCGGCGCCATGGCATATACCAAGAATTGAGTCTGGACTCACTGACATGGCGTTCCATCCTCCATCATTCCACCTTTAACGGGAAGATAAAATATACAACGTCCACTGACCTCCGCATTCGTCCTCACTAAACCACTATGAATGAAGTTTTTTTTTAGCATGATCCTGGCACGAAACTGTTCATGTGTTTCTAAATGCACGAATTTCATGCGCAACAACGCACTTTTTCGTGCTTTGGTTGCACACAAATTCATGCATTTTGAAACGTGCAAGGCTTATTTTTACTGTGACAGCACTCCGAACCAAGATCGGATTAGCCAGTGCGTCATTTCCGGCTTCCATTTTTGTTCTTCTTACGTCTGCCCTGGAGCTGCAGTGAAATGTTTTCAAACCAGTGCAACAGCAATCCTGCCATGACTCAACTAAATCGCGCAAGTCGTCGGAAACTGCGGGCTCACAATGTAGTGCTTCGCCTGCGGAAGAGTCAGCCATCGGCCCTTAGTATTCAGGAGCGTCAAATCGGCGACCCTTGTGGAACTGCAGTTGACCTCAAATCATTGAAGAACGAAAAGTGAAAACGGAAAACAAAAATTCCAGGAACGTGACATCAAATTGAAAGGAATGTGACAGAATGTATCGTTCCTTTGAGCGTTGAGTCACAGTCGTTTACATGAAGCAACGCTATTTCATGGCGGGTTCACATCCCAACGACTGAGACACACTGCTCAAAGGTACTTGACATTTTGTGACCTTTCTTTCAACGTGATGTCACGCTCGATGTCGCGTTCTTCGAATGAGAGTAAAGTGAAAAGTTGGACGTGAACGATGAGCACAAAGTGGACCAGGTGACCTTGAAGTGGACTTTGAAGTGAACCCTCGAGTGAACCGGGTTATCTTGAAGTAAACCAGTTGAACTTGAAGTGAACCTCGAATACTGAGAATGCAAGAGTCATGATCATGGCGTTAGGTGCAGCATCATGTCGATGCATGGAAAACTGAATACCGTGAAACGGGGTAATTTCGGACACTCGGTGTAATTTCGGACAACTCTGCCCGGAAGCATGGCGATGATGCTCCCATCTAACGGCGAACTTGGAGGCTTGTCCCGTTGCGCGCATCGCATCGGCCACACTTGAAACCATCTAATCACTCACCCGGAGGTCAAAACAAGAACAAACTTCAAGAGATAGAGTGGTTTTTGTATTTAACACTTTTCACCTAAATTCGCTTTAAGCGTAAAAACTTTGACTGGCAAGCTGAAACTGTTAATGGGCGGTTCATGAGGTGATTGTTTGTCGATTAGAACATGTTAAGAGCATGCTGTGTCAAATTTTCAATCATCTGGTTCAAATAGTTTGGTTTGTATGTGCTCAAAACTGAAAAATTGTTACTTTAATGGGTAATTCCGGACACATAAACGTCACGCCAGGGAGAGTGGGTATGTTCTGAACACTTTCAATTACGCAGGGTTTGAGTAGAGGAAGCTGAAGAGCTCTTCTAAAAGGTGAAGATAATCCAATAACAACGATAATCCCCCATTGCCACAGCGGTTGCTTTGTGAACTTTGACTTTCATAGAAAAAGGGGCAAAGCTACAACTTGAATCCTTTTTTTTTCCCTTTAGATATCCTACCTCAATGTCAACGACTGTTTTGTGACTAATTTTTTCATGTGACATGAGAGTTGGACTTAGCGAATGGCTGCACAGCTCGCCGGTTTACTACAATTGAAATGTACCTAACCGTACATACGTCACGACTACTTGCTTTTCATATGCATGTATGTAATCGTATGTAATCTTGAAGAGGAAGATTTACGATTCATTTACGCGTTAAGTATGGCCCGAGTTGCATATAAAAGCTTTTCGGTCAATTTTTTAAAAATAAGCCGCCTTCTAAATAGCTCCACTAGTTCGACCCACTCTCCCTGAAACCGAACTATTAGTTCAAGTTCAAAACCACGACTTCAAATTATGTATGAATGACCACCCCTACCAATACCTCCACATCTAAGCCCTTACGAATTTCTCATATAATCACGTAAGCACTATAGAAAGAGACCACTCGTGTAAATCTTGTCAGAATGTCAGAGACCTGTCTGAAAACCTGATCAAAATTCGCGCACCTCTGAAAGCTGAAAACATCTACTGACAGTCTGTAGAACTCAAACCGTCAATATCAGAGTAAGTTTTCAGAATTTCAGCTTTCAGAGGTGCGCGAATTTTGATCAGGATTTCAGACATGTTTCTGACATTCTGACAAAATTGACACGAGTGCAACGATCGATTTTGAGACCAAAATCAGAAAAGTCGTTTTTGCCGGGGGTGTCCGAAATAATCCCAAAACACGGGGTAACTTCGGACACTGCTTCGGACCCTCCACTGTAAAAAAACGGTGAGGCGCAGATATTTGAAATAAGCGCCAAATCGAAGCTAAAGGTGGGTAGATGATAAATTTTTACCCTCAAGTCCATGACAACACCACAACTTTCACAATAAAAAAAAAACTATCAAAAGTGTCCGAAGTTACCCCGTTTCACGGTATACGGTTGCCTTTTTAATCGGGTCTACTCTGGATTTTGATACCAACCGAAGTACTGTCAGACGGTCTCATCCGGAACGAAATGAACAGGTGAATGCGGTCCTTGATCTGCAGCGGTGCGAAACGCGAAAGTCTCACGAGTGCGGCTCTCCACTGTGAAACTTCGGCGTTCTTACTCCCAGCTACTCCCGACATTCCTTGACAAATTTGGCATTTGACAGAACGCTTCGAAATTTGTGGAGTTCCTTTCTTTAGAGCATGAAAGACCTGAGCGTGAGACATTAAGCACTCCAACAGCAATACAATAGACTTGCTTCAACCGAAGTATTACTCGTTTTAAGTAAAATAACGGACAAACAACACTCTACTAACTAAAGAATGTATGTTTGATTCTTCTGGACTCTCTACCTGAAGGTCACTGTACTTCTGCACTCTCAGACTCGTATTGACTTTTTTCTCGTCATTATTGACTTTTTGTCCTTCGCTTACGTAGTTTTTTTTAAACATCAATAATATGTAGTATTTTCTTTGTAACCATGTACAATATTCTTCACTATAAAGACTAAATTGTCATCAATTATTGACTATTTCTTAAGTTAATTGCGTATTGATTCTTTGTCAATAGCAAATTAACTTCAAGTTGTTCAGTTGTTGTCGGTTCAGTTGTTCAGCAAAGAAATTTCATCGGTGTAACTGCACTCCGGCCCGTGGGGCTCGGCTTGGGTTAGGGACCCAAGTCTTCGGCTTCTCACTTTTGACACAGGAGCATTTAGAGCGCACAAACTCATCGAAATTTTCGTAATCGGATTTTTCCTAAAGGGCTTATTCCTATGTTGCATTTTCTAAATTTCAGTTAGGAGAAAGTTCCTAATTTCCTCCTGACCCCCTGCCGCCTGGCCTTTGTTGCGCGGACAACAATGCTCGTGGTCCGCGGCGACACTCTCAGACAGTCTGACAATTGACTTTTTATCCTTTGTTAAAGAGTATTTTACACAGCAATAAAAAGTACTATTTCGTCAATATGTATGTAAGATTTCATTCGTTATATTGACTTAAAG